GCAAATGCAAGCCAACACAGAGCTGAAGAAAAAATCAACATTTACAGTTAAAACGTTTCATTTGAGGGCGCGTTTGGGATAATAATGTGCGAAAACACGCAAACAACTCAATTTTTTAAATAAACGTTGTGTAAAACTGATGGCTAGAAAGGCGTTGAAAATTTCCAGATTTAACTTCAATTGACTTTTCCTGAATGTTTTTTCAAATGCACGCCGACTTTTCACCGTATTTTTTTCTGTTAAAGCCGTCGTTTGCAAGTGAAACTCCCGAAATAAACACTACCTTCCTAAGAAGAAATAATGAAAATAATAAAATAAAAMTAAGAAAATACTGAAAAGCTTCCGACCGATTGACTATCGAATTTTCCATTAAACTCCACGCTTTTGGGCTTACCTAAGCACAAATACAGCACCCGATCCAAAAAAGGAAAGACATCGGATCGGGGCTTTTCCATTGTAAGTATCACTGCTGATCCATATTTTTTGGCCGCATTGGACAGAATTGAGACCACCAGGTAAGTGTTCAATGGATTCAGATCCCACGTTGGTTCGTCCAGCAGCAGGACAACTGCAGTTTTTCGTGAGTTATTATCGCGTTCAACAAATTCCGAAGTTTTGTGACTTGCCAGGGTCTTTGATGAGCTGGATGCCGATCATCAGACGTCGATATTCGCTTTTGGTTAAATTTTCGATGCACCGATTGGACACCTGCGAAAGCGCCAAGTCGGCCATCACTTGCTTCACTTTGGATTTCTTCAAGTATCCTGTCAGCTGCAATTGGAAATTAATTTAAAAATAATTAATAGACAATTTTTTAAGGAAAAATTACCCTTGTAGGGGTGTAGTACAGGGTCTGTTCAACTGTAAGCCCTTCAATGAGGTCGCACTTATGCGTAACATATCCACATCTTTGCTGGAAAAGGCAGACAGTCATCGGCTGGTTGTTCAGCAAAATCTGCCCCCTCACTGGCCCTTGGACTCGTCTGGAAATCACGTCCAAGAGCGCCTTTTTGCCGCTTCCTGTTTAACCCAATTAGGGCGTATTTGGGCGCACGTATTTGTATTGGTTGCTTACCTTTGGACCCCAACACGGCCAGCACCTCCCCAGAATGGACAGTCATTGAAACATCTTTGAGGATTATTCCT